AGGACAAAAAATACACATGTGTTAATCGCGTTAAAATAATTAGTGGCGTTAATTTTTTTTTGTGTTAACGCGTTATTAACNACACTTAAAGGAGCGGGTGTCACACAGCCGGCCAGTGTGGAGGTCAATGATGTGGAGGGAGTAGTCTTCCAGAGGGGAGCGGGGGTTGGGAGTCACAGATTCGTTGTTCCGGTACACCTGGAGGGAGATGAAACATAGATGAGAGGAAATATTTAAGGACATTTTAATACGTTTGATTTTATTTCCTTTTTGTATTTTATTAAGAGGGGAAAGATCAAAATCACTATCAGAAATAATGTATTCATCCTGGGGGAAATTGGGTTTTATGACAGCTGTTCCATTTTAGAAAAAATGTAATAAAAGATAAATGAAAGAAATAATATGTATATAAACATAAGAAGGAAGTATCTACAACGAAAAGATAAAATAAAAAGTCTTATAAAGATAAGAATTTAAAGAAAAATGTCAAATAAAGATAACATTTTACAAAAAAAGAATACAATATTATATAAAGATAATGGCAGGATATTGATATTGGATTATAATTTTCATGTGTAGTGAGTTTGGGGACTCGTCTCTAGCTAATTCATTAAAAGCACACATATTATAATATATTATAAAAGCACAAATATTATAATCTTAATCTTTCAAACCATGCTAAAATATGGTTGTTTTAATTATTTTTGAGTTTCCCAGTACATATATAGTTAGTGTGATGGTGTTTTTACCTCAAAGAAGTAGGGCGGCGGCTCCTCCGGGACGTACACGGCCGACCCGACGATGACGTAGCGGCAGTCGTCAGTGAAGAGGCTGCACTCCCGGTTCAGGTGTTCTCCGTTGGAGGCCACATTAGTGACGTGGAGCAAGGAGAAGAAGCGCTCGAACAGACGGCCCCGGATGTTGAGGGAACGCTGGTCATTGGCCGTCAGGAGGGTCTCTCCCTCCTGGCCCCTCAGCAGGTCCTGAGCTGCCTGGCAGCCTTGATATTCATAAATCTATGGGAGGAACATACAGAGAGAACATTTTATTTCTTTGTCTCAGGTAAATGGGTTAGTCAGAAGTCTGTTCCAGTCTGGGTGGTTTGCTTTTGAGGATTGGGAGTTAAACTCATTCAACTTAATTTTTTTCATTGGGCGAATAAATAATCACAGGATAGGTGAAGAGAAGTGCAAGGTCACATACAGTATATAGCCTAAAGTAAGACGGATGAAAACAAATTCAGAAAAATCGACTCATATAAATAATAATCATTCAAAACATAAAAGATAAATAAATTGGTAAATAAAACAAATTAAAAAGAAAAATAATTAAATTAAATATGGATAATGGTTGTTTGGTGTGTGAGAAATATGAATATAAATAATAATATTTTGTTTTAAAAGGATTAAAAATATAAAAGATACATAATATGGTAAATAAAAAATACAATTATGAATACAACTAAATTAAATAAGGATAATTTATAAGTGTATGGTTTTTTGATGTGTGCGAAATGTGTGAGGAGACGAGGGAGACACACAAAGTATTGGGGGAAGGTCCAGATCAGCTCCAATGTAGAGGAGGGAAATATGGCTGGAAAAAAGTTAGCGGTTTACCTCCAGAGAAGTCTGGTCTGAGGAGAAGGCGATGAAGCAGCGTCCATCTGGTGAGAACTTCCTCAGGAAGCAGGGGGGCTTCTCTACGTTGACCACAGTAAAGTTGGGGAAAAGGTTCTGGTGGAAGCAGCGGACTCTGTACCAGTGAGCTCCGGGGCGGCCCGAGCAGATCCTCCGCCTCTCGAGACGATGAACCACGTTCTGATTCTGGATCCGCCTGGGCTTCAGAGTTTGGATTTCCTCATCCATCGCTGTGATTAGAGGGTGATCTAAAATCCTTCTCAGAAGGTAGATAGACAGGAAGCCGGTACGTAGAAACGACTACATCACAAGGGCACTCCTGTTATGGTGTTTTCTGTAGAGAGGAAAAAATACTTAGTTGTTTTTTTCATCAGTTGAGAAATAAAAAAATTACTTGCTGAAAACACAGTAATACATTACAGTTTTTATAACAGATATACTGTTTTGCGTAACAAAAACATATAACTAACTACATATCTTATTAGCCATTAAAGTTAGTTTTTATTGTATTTTTTTTTCTTTCTTACATATACATAGATAACTTACCCCTGCATTTTGCATTAAATGTCATAAACCTTAAGCTGTTAATTTGTCGTTGAATCTGCGAAAAACAAAATATTTGCTATTTCGGCAAGTTTGAAAATGTCCCATTTTTATAAATGACCCCAAAAAATCCTTTGCTTTCCTTGACAGCTGGTCAGAGAATGTAAGCATCTTCTTGAGACTGAGATACAACCAGATTTGCTTTTATGCAAACCAGAGAAAACACCAATAGATTTCTAAAGAATTCTTGTTTTCAGGTGTAAATCTACGGAGCCCCTCAAGGGACATGAAAAAAAGAAAGTCGGGATAACGGGTTAGTATCTCGTGCGCACGAGAGCGTTTCTTGTGAGCACGAGAAATTAACCCGTTATCCCGACTTTATTTAATTATTTTTTTGAGAAAGTTACCGGTGCGCCAAGGAGGAAGTGGAGCGCACAGGAGACAACCATTTTATTGCAGACTGTTATGTTTATGTGGGGACATGACAGTGCATACATTATTTGAGATATATTTCAAATTCAGACTTAATTTTAAGGACATTTCGGCCAGGGGTGTAGAGCTATTTGTTTAAGCACCGGATTGGCAAACAGGAGAGTCTGTGAACCAGTCTGCTTTGATCTATAAATTAATGTCTGTGACTCTCAGTCCACTAGGTCCACCCCGATCGGGCCACTCGGTCCACCGTTTCCCCGCAGCGAAGCTCCCCCCCGTTGACAGTTCACTAGCCCCCGCCCCCGTTGACAATTTACGTGGGCTGGGCTGGGTGAGATTCCCGGGCTGATTTTTAGTCCCAGTCCGCCCATCATGCCTTGGTGACCTTGGTTAAAACGTAACAGCCAGTCACTCTTTATAGCTGTTCGAATGAAGGTAAACACAGTGTAGGCAGTGCGTAAAAGGTTAAAAGTAAAAAGTGGGTGTTTCTCAATGTCGAGGAAGGCTCCTCCAGAGCCACTATTTCAAGCATACTATGTCATCGAGTGCCGCCGAAGGACTGTTCCAATGTCCAGCATACTTGGAATTCTACCGAGGCCGGTGTACTTCATAGCAAGACATTTCGAGGCTCCACATGTGTAGCCTCCGGTCTTAAAATCCCCACAAAGCTTTGCGCACGGACCTATTTCCAAATCTTTGGCGGAAATCGCTCTCCATTTAATGCGGGGCCACGCATATGACGCACACCACCACACCTGTTACACAGCGTCCACACGGCGGCGTGCGTTGAAGCTTGCCGGTGGGCATGTCTGAAACTCGACCAACAACCAATCACATGAATCTCCCGCCCCGGACACACAAGCACGCGGTTTCATTGGCTAGAGCTTGAACTGGCATATGATTTGATTGGCTGACGCTTCCGTTGAAGCTTCAAAAGTTGAACATTGCTCAACTTTTGAAGCGAGAAACGCGAGCAAAGCGAAGCGACCACAATGCAGTTCGGCAAAGCCTGACGTCACCCAATTCAAAGTAAATGGGCAGAAGCGTTGAAGCTTCAGCGCACGCCGCCGTGTGGACGGGCCGTTAGGCTGTTCCACAATTCTTCGTTTTCCGAGGCTAGGAAGGATTCTTGCCTCGCTTCTGAAGCAAGTGAATTGGAGGTACATGTGCTACCAAGCAAGCGTCCTCGACATTGACGGCCCGTCCACACAGCGGTGTGCGTTGAAGCTTGCCGGCGGGCGTGTCTGAAACTCGACCAACAACCAATCACATGAATCTCCCGCCCCGGACACACAAGCAGCGGTTTGATTGACTAAGCTTGTATAGGCATATGATTCGATTGGCTGACGCTTCTGCCGAGGCTTCAAAAGTTGAACATTGCAACTTTTGCAGCGAGCCACCCTAGCAAAGCTCCGCTTCGCTTCCCACAATGCAGTTCGGCGAAAAGTGACGTCACCCCATTCAAAGTGAATGGTGAAGCTTTCAACGCACGCCGCTGTGTGGACGGGCCGTAAGAAACACCCACTAACCCGTTATCCTGACTTTTTTTTCTCAGTTTTTTCATGTCCCTTTAGGGCACATGTGTCAAACTCAAGGCAAGGGGGCCAAATCAGGCCCGTGGTGGATTTAATTTCGGCCCGCAGGATAATTATTTAATTACTATTAGATCTGGCCCTCCGGTATATTGCACGCACACCTTCACTCAATCCTGAGGGTTTCCTCAGCTCAGAGCCTGAGCCCAAACATTGATGAACTTGCACCCAAGATGAGATGCCAAGTATCTGTTTCTTGCGACAACAGGGCATGTTTGGTTTTTTCTTTGAGGGAAATTATTTTTTTGAAGCTGTTGTTGGCCTGTGGAAAAATGTAATCCTAAGAAATGACTCAGATAGCAGATAGAGCCATAAGAAATGAGTGCAACTGATTATTTAATGTGTAATGTTGTTTTTATAGGCAATAATTTAAGCTTTGTTAATTCCAGGTTTAATATGTGCAATAAGTTCATTTCAATACGTTTTGCAATAAAGATTGAACCAGTCCGGCCCTCGACTAGTACCCATTTTTTTTATTTTGGCCCACTGTGTATTTTAGTTTGACACCCCTGCTTTAGGGGCTCCGTATAAATCAGAAAATCTCCCTGTCAGCCTTTTTTTCAGTGTCCTCTAAAACATATGTTGCATAGATCAGTGTCAGACTGAATACTTGAATACTTTACAGTTTTGAGTTTCAGCACTGTCACTTTTGGAATTGGAAAACAGTTATCAATTTCCTGAGCTTCAAGCTAACTGATTTTTAATGCACATAACCTTAGGAGTGTAGCTAAGTGAGGATATAAAAGAGCACAGAAACACAGAATAGTCTTTAGCAGAAATAGGAGCCAGGATCTTCTCTTTTAGGAGTCAGGTGTGATTCATTGCAGGGCTAACACCCTGAGAGGTGTGTCATTAGCTCAGCCAACTCGACAGTGAAGAGCAGATACCGCTAAGTATATCACTAAACCGTGAGAGGGTACAAAGTTACTCACATGTAGTATTTAAAAGCCAAATGTGAAGCG